CTGCTCGAGCAAATGGATGAACAACGGGAGGACAGTGCTACAGTGCAGTGCAGTTATTGAGCCAAACTCTTGACCAAATGTTGAAGAACTGCTTCTAGATGAATATTCTACTGAACTGCACCCCTCAGAAAAAAGTTGGGCAGGAAAACATATATGTTAGGACAAGACTGCTCTTGGAAAGATTACTGGTAAACTGGAGCAATTGGAAGAGCACAGACGGCTTAACTTGCATATAGGCAACATTGATTGGGTTTTGTCCCCAGAACTCAAAGTTTAGTGGTGTTCCAGATGGATTAGGTTTATGGTACCCTTTAAGAGTATCACTCTTTTCTGCGTCTAACCACCTGCTTTTGGAATTAGAGTCCCAATTTTCTAGCGAGGTCCAGGACTGTTGGTATATACAGCAACATACACTATCAAATCCTGGGTAAACATTCTCAAATTACATCCTAAAAATTAGATATGATAACTTCAGAGCAAGCCAAGGGAACATGGCCACACATAATATAGGAATTAACTTAGAATATTTCACAAAATGAGCAAACAGAGGAATTCACCACAAATGCAAAAGCAAAACAAAATGTGGAACTAGTTATTCTGAAGGAATGCAGGGTAAGGGGTGGGGAGTTAACCACAGACATACGCTACTTTGAAAGTACAGGACACTGGTTAGGTACCTTGTCTCTACATGGGTCACTGAGTATCATCTGATACTGCCCCTGAGGTCCCTAAACACTATTTTGTGAGACCCTAGTACCTCCCAAGAATGGTCAGTGTGTCCAGGTGACCTGGAAGTAAAATTTTCAACTTGCTACAAAGAACAGGAAGCTGGTGGATTCTACAGAGCAAAATAAGCCAGAAAGTTGGAGGATTTCCCCCAATGTGCGCTGTATAAATCAGTATAATTTATGAAAAAACTGAAATAAATTGGTCATGTACACTCATGACCAAACTAATGTTGTTAAGGAAAAGAGAAAGGGTGTAGGAAGATCAGATGTAAGGGAATAAAAAGAAACGAGGACAAATAGGGGAAGTTTAAGTAGATTAGAATTTTTTTTCTGGGGGTTCACTCTTCATTTTGATCAGGATGTTTTTCTGGTTTAGTGTTCAGGTGTCCTTCCTGGAAGTGCTCAAGGGACCAAACATAGTGTCAGGGCATAAATCAGACCAGCCACATACAAGCACTTTACTCACCAGGTTATCTCTAGCTCTAGACCAGGATTTACCAGAGTTGGACAACTATTCTCTACTTAGGAGAAAGAATAAATTAAGTACTGAGGGAAAAACTTCAGATTTTGGCCTTGTGCCCCTGATGTCTATTCCCCATCAAAATGGCTCAGATTTCTTCTTACACATGCAACATAAAGAATAATTTGAAGTGATAGTAGCCCCACAGAGACCTGGGAAGAGTATTACTGATAATGATGATAACTTTGATCATAATTTACAAAAAAAATTAAGTTTCTAGATTAATATAGAACCTATAATACATGAGAATATTTTTATGGTCACAACAAAAAATACCTAATAACCATAAAGGAAAACATAAAGAATTATTTTACAAAATACTTCATAAAGCTTATTACAAAATTTTGTCAATGGATTTATAATATATGAATATATCATTTGCATGTAAATCACTGTCACTGTCACTGTCCTCCCGTTGTTCTTCGATTTGTTCGGGCGGGCCCAGTAACCTCTCCATTGTGACACTTGTTACTGTGTTTGGCATATCGAATATATCATGGGTAGCTTGCTGGGCTTTGCTGTGTGGGCGACATACTCTAGGTAGCTTACAGGGCTTGCCGAGAAGCATGTAAATAATAATAATAATAATAATAATAATAATAATAATAATGTATATCTTAATTCCACAAAAACTAAAACTTGTTAATCTTATAAAAATGTATGCTGGTAAGAGCAATTTGATAGTTAATGCTTGAGGTTTTTCCTAGAGATATTTTTATTATCAATAGGAGGCCAAGTTTTTAACCAATTCATGGACGTAGAATTTAGTACAAAACTCAGATACTAAAAAGCTGTCATAGTGCTTTTTATTTTAAACTTGAGTAGTTTTATTTGGAAAACTATATTTCTAATTTCTAAATGAATTTTTAAGACAAACATTTAAAAAAATCCTACTCATTCTATCTGTAAAGCAGTCTATCATTCTCAACCAAAATAATTGTTTTCTTTATTTTCAGTTAAAGAAATGTTAGAGTACTCATTTGATATCGTTATTTTAAAGAGCTATTTGTCAAGATTTATTCACCATAAATTTATCTTCAGTCTCTTAACTGATATTTTAGAATTCTAAATTATCTATAGTATTTATATTATTTGGGCTAGAGCGATAGCACAGCGGTAGGGCATTTGCCTTGCGCGAAGCCAGCTGGCCGAGCCAGTTTCTATTCCTCCGCCCCTCTCAGAGAGCCCAGCAAGCTACCAAGAATATCTAGCCTGCATGACAAAGTCTGGCAAGCTACCCCTGAAGTATTCGATATTACAAACAAGGTAACAACAAGTCTCATGACGGAGACATTACTGGGCCCGCTCTAGCAAATGGATGAAAAATGGGAAGACAGCACTAAGAACAATTATATTATTTAAATTTACTTGGAAAATAAAAAATAATTGCATACATGCATTCTCATTTTAAGAGTTCTAAATATGGACATATAACACATTAAACTTGAAATAATTTATGTGGATGTGTGCTATGTAAAATAAAATATGTAAAATATGTAAAATAAAATAGGAATCAAATTAGAAAGCTTTATTAGTACTTTGAAGATCAGAAAAATACTTTAAAAGTCCACTAAATTTTGCATACTAAGTTTTAATGCTGTCTTATTGAGTACAATGTTAAGTCATGATAACACATGATTGGATTGGAGGATTGGAGAACGATTTACTCAATGAAGAACAATAAATAAAATTTTTATTAACCTGTGTTTGAATTTCTTAGAGAAGTAGAGTGGAGATACTGACCGAAATAGTTTAAGAATACTTATGTAAATAATGGGTGGAGAGGCAGTACAACAGTTGCCTTGTACAGGGCCAAACCAGCTTTGATTCTTGGAACCCTGTATGGTCCCCGAAGTCTGCCAGGAGTATACCTAAACACAGAGGCAGGAGCTAGCTCTCAGCACTGCCAGGTGTGATCCAAAAGTCAAAAAAAATTTACTATAAATAAATTCTGACTTATATTGTATATTAGTTTTCTTTTCAAATCCCCATATTTTCAAAAAAAATTACCACACACACAGTACTGTCAAAAAACCTGTAACAATTAGTACAAAGTTACGTATGAAAGAATTCTAGTTCTAGCACAATTCATTCTCCACTCAGATCCTGAAATTAGAATGTTAGCCATATGTTTTGTTGGAAAGTTCTATCAAATAACCCACTTCTCACTCTAATTTAGATTCTTGGCACAACTGGGATCCTTCTGGTTGTAGGACTGAGGTCCTCAATTACTTGCTGATTGTTGTGGGTTATACTTTGTTCTTGAAGACCTCTCTTATGACCTTTCACACTGACCCTTTGTCATGGAACCATAGGCTTTCTTTCCTACAAAACATCTTTTATGCTTTGTGAGTGTGTTTGTTTTGGAGACACAATTGGAAGTGATTAGGGCTTACTCTTGGCTCTGCCTGAGGGACCACTCATGGTCGGCCCTGGGACCATCTGAGGTGCCAGGGATCCAACCTAGATTAGCTAGACTAACACTTACCCACTGTACTATCACTTGTCCCCTGAGATGCTTTGAATCTCTCTGACTTTGAATACTTGCTTTCAGGAAGACAACAATCATATTTTTTTGGGCTCTCCTTATTAGGCCAGTACCATTAAAGAAAATCTTTCTTCATTAAAATGAACTTTACTAAATGATATAACCTAATTTTAGTAGTAAATATCAACTTCATCATAGTTACAGATCCATGTATCAAAAAGGCTATTTACACAAAAGAATGAGGATACTCGACATCATATTAAAATTCTGCAAAGTACTCTGTAACTTTAAACAATATTTCTTTGAGTTTTCACTATGCTAACTTCCCTGTAAATGTATTAAAATGCCTACTTCATAAGCTATGGAAGATTTCCCAAGAGAAATATATTAAATGAATAAACACTTTCTAGAAAGTTATAAGCATCCATAGATTTTCTTTATTCTGTATTTTATTAATTATAAAATTAAACAACAAAGTATGTTCTAACTATAAGAATCAACTTATGTTTTTAGTAGACATTATTTGTGATAAAGGATAAAAAAAAGTTGAAGCAACTAGCAAATCATTTAAAAAAAATCTGTGATTTAATCTTTCTTAAATTTCCTAAGAATGAAGAGTCTTGATTAGAACTATAAATAAATAAAATTTCCACACCCACGTTAATCAATCTATTAAGGCCCATGAGATTTCTAGTCAAAATCTAATTCTACTCATTTTAATTCCTCATTAAGCCAAACAGTGTTCTATCTGTGGCATAATTGAACATATTCTTAATGAGAAAGAAGTAATCATTGAATATGCCATTTACACTCTGAATACGGATTAGGCATTACTCTTCTTGACTACTAACTATATCACTAGGTTCAAGCTATCTGTTATTGAAAAATTTTATGGATGATTTCAAGCAGGTCTGTGAAAAAGGTAAGATCTATGAAAACATTCATATTCCAGGGGCAAGAGAGATTAGATAGGAGATAAGACTTGGATGTGGCCAAACCTGATTCAATCCCTAGCACTGCATATGGTTCCCCAGCACCACCAAAAGTAATAATCCAGAGCCAGGAGTAAATCCTGAACACTACAGGGAGTGGTCCAAACATATAAACATTGCTGATTTAATTTTTTTTAAAAAAATAAGTACATATAAAGATATATCTTAGAAGACTCAGGTACAATATTTTAATGTTGAAATGCATTGCTAGTATTAGAATACTTACACCTAGTGATATGGAAAAGAGGAAAATAAAATAGATACGGGTGTGATCCCATGAAGAAAGTCACATATGTCCTTTCCCAGTTCAAGAAGCTGTACTGGTATACCTTCTGGGACCAACTGGGGGGACGGAAGGAAATTTGTTCTAGAAAGTGCTACCTGAAGGATCATAAGTATTTTTATAAATGTGAAAAAAAGAAAATGAATACCTTGTTGGAAAATCAGCTGTATTTTTTTCCAGGCTTGAAGAACAAGACACAGAAGATGGAATCCTATACTTTGGAGGACATCAAAAAGAATACTGGCATTGGAACAAAGTTGTTCAGATTAGCCCTCAAATATCTTAATCAAATAAAACTTTTGTTTAACCTTTAAAGCTTTTTAACGAGCATTTGCTTATCACAGCTAAAGAGTATAGTTTAAAATGAAACAATTTTGAAAGTAAAATATTAAAACATCTGAACGAAAATTGCTCATGTGAGATTCTGCAATTATTTGACATTTTAGCTAGTCAGTTTATTACTTTGAAATGCAACATATTATATAGTTCTGAAGTTTATGGAAAGTAATTTTATGATTATTAAATTAGCATATGTAATGATTTTATTATGATTTATTTGTTTTGAATACAATTATTTGTAATTAAAAATTTCACATATAGTTCTACAGTGAATTGACTTTATCATTTGACACATCATTGCTCTATTTTTTGTTTTTATACTGGGCTCCAAATGTTAAAGATGGCATGGAATGGCTTCAAAATTTGAGAAGACTTCTCCTGGTCTGGTTTTCCCATAAATTCACCAGTTCTGAAGTTTCTTTTATTTTGTACATTTACAAATTAGTATAATATTCATTCTTATATTCTCCTCTCCAGAGATGAAGATTTAATTTATATAGTTATATAAAATTTATATATTTTAAAGACTAAAATGCAATAAAATTAAATTATGGGCATGAAAATATTATATTGCATTTTCTTGTAGAAAAAATATGATTCACAGATAATGAATATAAGTCTGTATTTATTTTGTAGATAGCTTAAACATAAATACAATGTAAATTTCACAAATACTGTTTCCCTTTTTTTCCTGTTTATTTCCTATACCTATGAAGTAAAATATTAATGGGCATAGTTGTTTATAATTTTTTAGGCATTTCCAAAAATTATAGTTTGAGAGGAAATAGGCTGATTTAATTACATGTGATATGAATGAAAACTTTTATAGATTTAGAAAGCTTGGGTGAAGCATCTCTTAGAGAGACTAAAGGAAAGAAATCAGATGCCAAACAAATTAACATTTTCTAGCCTTATTTTCAGTCTATTATAAATTGCTGTGAGCCTTTTCTCATTAAGCACTGTAGCACTGTCCTCCCATTGTTCATCGATTTGATTCAGCAGGCACCAGTAACATCTCCATTATGATGTTGTTGTTACTGTGTTTGTCATATCGAATACACCCCGGGAAGCTTGCCAGGCTCTGCCGTGTGGGCAGGATACTCTCGGTAGCTTGCCAGGCTCTCCGAGAGGGGCAGAGGAATCCAACCCAGGTAAGCCACATGCAAAGCAAACACCCTACCCGCTGTGCTAATGTTCCAGCCATTATTTCATTAAAAATTCAAAAAAATTGAGTTTGAAGTGAAAATTATATATTTTAGTTAAATGTAAACTGAAATATTAGATGTTATATAATAGTAGCATTCTAAATTTTTTTGGACTGACTTTTCTCAGGACTTTCTCCTGACTTGTGCTCATGGATCACTTCTGTGGAACTTCAGGGAAAAAGAGGGTTGAACTTGGGTTTGCTATTTTCAAAGCAAGAATCCTAACCACTTTACTAACTCTTGAGTCCCAGTTTGCACATGAATTTTAAAAGGAATTTTTTGTCAGCAGTGATAAACATTATGAATAGTAAAATACAATAACACTTAATATTCAAGTAAAATAATGATGTGAGTTTAGAATGAGAATTCGATAGTACCTTAATCATAACCCCATGCCCAAATGATTAAGGATCACTATTAAATACTGAAAGAATTAGTTTTACATCATGAAACTGCTGCGTAAACGACTTAAATTAAACAGATTCTTTTGCCTTGGTAACCAAAATATATTTCCTTAATGTCAGTGTTTAATTAAATGGCCTGTGGAAAAGATAGGTAGTGGTCAGATAGTTGTCAGACTTCTGTTTAAAAGAGAAGATGGCATTTTATTAAATACATTAAATTAATCTCACCATCATGTGGTATATAATCTTGAGGCTCTTACACTAATTATTCCATTTAAGGTGTCATGTCTAAAGGACTGCTTTGAATGCATGTTCGGAGGAGGAGATTGCTTTCTTTTTCGATAGGATTTGCTGTTTTTTGGAAAGTGTCTCTATTCTCATTTTACTCTTTAAAGGACATATTTACTTGAAATGTTACTTTCTAACATTTTCTAGCATAAACATTTCTAAGGCAAAGTCTCCTACCCCAGCATCTGGCTGTCCTCACTGGGGCCCCTTGGAGGGGGGCGGGTTGAATTTCCCTCTTCATCCTGAGCAGAGCCCTTGTAGATGAAGACCTCCAGGACCCAACCACAGCCATGCTGAGACCACTCTCCACAATTCTCCTCATGCTAGGACAAGCCTCACGCATGAAGGAACTAGGAGAGGAACCCAGCTGTGCGGGACCCAGGGCTGAGATCTCCAAGTCTGCTTGGATCAGGACTGAACCTCCACCACCCAGATCCCCCATCTTTCAGTAGCTAAATAGTTACGCCCACCAACTGCCATATAACCCCACCAGTGGCCAAGATCCAGAAACTATAAAACCAAACTCCTGGAAGTGGACAGCCGCATTTGAAGCCACACGACCTCATATTTATTTATTTATTTATTTTGCTTTTTGGGTCACACCCGGCAATGCACAGGAGTTACTCCTGACTCATGCACTTAGGAGTTACCCCTGGCGGTGCCCAGGGGACCATATGGGATGCTGGGAATCAAACCCGGGTCAGCCGCTTATTGTCTAGTTCTCACTCTCAAAGAACACAGGCTACCTGGAAACAAATGAGAATGAAGACACGAGCTACCAGAACCTATGGGATGCAGCGAAAGCTGTATTAAGGGGAAAATTTATAGCTCTACAAGCATATCTTAGGTCTGTAGAAATGGTGCACATAAACAACTTGACCTCACAGCTCAAGTCCTTAGAAAAGGATCAACAGAAAGAACCTAAATCAGGCAGAAGGAAAGAGATCATAAAACTTAGAGCAGAAATCAATGACATGGAAACCAAAGAAACAATCAATGAAACCAAGAGCTGGTTCTTCGAGAGAATAAACAAGATAGATAAACCACTCGCAACACTCACAAAGAAACAGAGAGAGAGAACCTTAATAAACCGAATCAGAAATGAGAAGGGGGATATCACAACAGAAACCAAAGAAATCCAAAAGATAATCAGAGACTACTTTGAAAGTCTGTATGCCACGAAACAAGAGAACCTAGAAGAAATGGACAAATTCCTGGACTCCTATAAGCTCCCAAAGCTGAATCAAGAAGACCTGGAGTATCTGAATAGACCTATTAACATCAACGAAATAGAAACTGCAATCAAAAGCCTTCCCAAAAACAAAAGCCCTGGTCCAGATGGATTCACTAGCGAATTTTTCCAAACATTTAAAGAGGACCTGCTGCCAGTCCTTCTCAAGCTCTTTCAGGAAATTGAAAAAACGGAAACTCATCCAAACAGTTTCTATGAAGCCCATATCTCTCTAATACCAAAAGGAAACAAATATATCACAAGAAAAGAAAACTACAGGCCGATATCCCTGATGAACACGGATGCGAAGATTCTCAACAAAATACTAGCAAATAGAATTCAACAACTCATCAAAAAGATCACACACCATGACCAAGTAGGATTCATCCCGGGGATGCAAGGCTGGTTTAACACTAGGAAATCAATCAACATAATCCACCACATCAACAAAAGAAAAGATAAAAATCATATGATCATATCAATAGATGCAGAGAAAGCATTTGACAAGATCCAGCACCCATTTATGATGAAAACCCTAGCCAAAATGGGGATAGAGGGGACTTTTCTCAATATAGTTAAAGCCATCTACCACAAGCCTACAGAAAGCATCGTCCTCATTGGCGAAAAACTGAGAGCCTTCCCTCTAAGATCAGGGACGAGACAAGGTTGCCCACTCTCTCCACTGCTGTTCAATATAGTATTGGAAGTACTTGCAATAGCGATTAGGCAAGAAAAGAATATTAGGGGCATCCAGGTAGGAAAGGAAGAAATCAAGCTCTCACTATTCGCAGATGATATGATACTACACTTAGAAAACCCTAAAACCTCTATCAAGAAACTTCTAGAAACAATAGGCTTGTATAGTAAAGTGGCAGGTTATAAAATCAATGTCCAAAAGTCCATGGCTTTCCTATATGCAAATAGTGAAAGAGAAGAAAAAGACATGAAGAAAACAATCCCATTCACAATTGTGCCCCAGAAAATCAAGTACCTAGGAATCAGCTTAACTAAGGAAGTAAAGGACCTGTACAAAGCAAACTACAAAACTCTACTTCAGGAAATAAAAGAGGATACGAGGAAATGGAAAAATATCCCCTGTTCATGGATCGGGAGAATTAACATTGTCAAAATGGCAATACTTCCCAAAGCACTGTATAAATTCAATGCAATCCCTATTAGGATACCCATGACATTCTTTAAAGAATTGGAACAAACACTCCTGAAATTCATATGGAACAATAAGCCCCCACGAATAGCTAAAGCAATTCTAGGGAAAAAGAAAATGGGAGGAATCAACCTCCCTAACTTCAAACTCTACTACAAGACAGTAATAATTAAAACAGCATGGTACTGGAACAAAGGCAGAGCTCTAGACCAATGGAACAGGGTTGAATATACTGACATCCCCCCCCACCAAGTATACGAGCATCTAATCTTCGATAAGGGGGCAACAAAAGTGAAGTGGAGCAGGGAAAGCCTCTTTAACAAATTATGCTGGCAAAACTGGACGGTTATATGCAAAAAAATGGGCTCAGATCTCTGCCTAACTCTATGTACAAAAGTAAGATCTAAGTGGATTAAAGACCTCAACATCAGACCGGAATCTATAAGATACATTGAGGAAAATGTTGGCAAAACCC